CTGAGCCAGCTGGTATCCCTCATACTCTATTCAATATCTTATTTATTTAAATATCTGACTAACTGATTGTCTTCCCACTAGAATATAATGTCAGTGATTTTGTCTATTTATTGCTGTGTTTCTAGCCCCCATATCAGGCTAGCACATAGTAGAAATTCAATAGATAGTTTGAATGAATGAAAGAATGAATTTAAATCATCATTAACACATAAGAATTTGAATTATTAGGATTATAATTTATAACCCAAACCCCATTTAAGTGTAAAAATAATCTCAGCTTTCTTCTCTCTAAAATGGGACTAATAATGCTCAAGTTTCCCCACCTCTCAAAAAATAATAGTAATAGTTTTCATCTGTGTTATAATTCATGATCTAGGGGCACCTGAGTGGCTCAGTGGGTTAAATCTCTACCTTTGGCTCAGGTCATGATCTCAGGGTCCTGATCGAGCCCCGCATCGGGCTCTCTGCTCAGCAGGGAGCCTGAACCCCTTCCCCCCGCCTTCTGCTCTGCCTACTCGTGATCTCTCTCTGTCAAATGAATAAATAAAATCTTTGAAAGAAATAATTTATGATCTATTAAGCCTTTTAACATTCAAAACACTCCATAAAGTAAACACAAAAGACATTTAAATTTCTGTCTTCTTAAGTTAGAAGATAGTTTCTGTCTTCTAAAGATATAAATTAGACAAGGAAAGAGAGGTTCAGGGGTTTCGATGTTTAAGGAGTTTACATGAGATCACATTGAGAGTAAGTGTAGGGCCAGGGCTCAAACCTGATTTGTTATTATTGTAACTGTGTTTTTTCCTCCTAAACTATCTTGCTTTTTTCTGAAAATGGAACCAGAGATTTGTCAATGCACTCTGAAAAATTGTAAAATCATATACAAATGTGCCACAAGACCCTTCTAAAAAATTATTCTAAATAACAAATGGGTTTTCAATGGCTCATTGCATGGGTTATAACCAGTGCTTGATGCGGTCCACTGAACCTTTCTCTGTGTTGTGGTGTTAACATCCATCTTCCAAATGCAGGGCTATCTAGAATCTTGCCAAAAATTACCATTTTAAGCATGCGATGTCCTTCAGTTTACATTTGCAGATTTCAGTGAAATAGCATCTTCCAATGAAGTCCACTGCACTGGAGAGGGAAACGTGCAGAAATAGTCAAGGTACGTTGAAAAAGATTATTGTAAAAAATGCACATAATGTAAAATTTACCAACTTAGTCATTTTTTAAGTGTACGGTTCGGAAGTGTTAAGTGTTGAGCAATCTTCTTCACTGTTGAGCAATGAACCTCCAGGCCATTTTCATATTGCAAAACTGAAACTCTCTACCCATTAAACAACTCCCCATATCCCTCTGCAACTACCATCTACTTTCTGTTTCTATGCATCTGACTATTTTATATAGCACATATAAGTGAAAGCACACAGTATTTGTCTTTTCGTGACTGGCTGATTCCATTTAGCATAATGTTCTCAAGGTCCATCCATGCTGTAGCATGCAGCAGGATAGCCCTCCTTAATAAGGCTGAATAATACTATACTGTATGCATATATTACATTTTGTTCATTCACCTGTTGATGAACATTAGCATTTTTGTTTCTATCTCTCCGTTATTGTGAATTATATGGTTGAGAACATGTGCGTGCAAATATACCTTTTAAATCCTGCAATGAATTTTTTGGGATAGATATAACTACATATAAGCACACACTCAGAAGTGGGATTCCTGGATCATACGGTAATTCTATTTTCAATTTCTCAGGAACTTCCATGCAATTTTCCATAGCAGCAGCACCATTCTATGTTCCTACCAGCAGTGCACAAGGGTTCCAATTTTTTCATATCCTTGTCATTAAGTTTACTTTTGGTTGTGATTTAGCATGAATTTTGTAGGCCCAAAGAGCTGAAAGAGACTCTGGAGTAGAACAATAGTATATTTTGTAAGAGTCAGTTAATACTTGTGAGCTTACATAAATACAAACAAAACTTTCATTTAAAAAAATCTCATGTGCTCATTAATCATACATATCTTAGCACATTAATCCATCACAGTCATAAACCCTTCAAGAAGAGCAGACAATAGAAAAAAACCTGGTTCCATTCTCAACTCTGGTTTCACCTCTAACAATTCACATACCTGAGCCCTCGTCTTACTGTTTACCATAGCCATTGCGAAGATGAATGGGTTAATATCTTAAATTTGTGTGCATCTGTGTGGATGCACTACAAAAAGGAAAAGCACTGGACAACAACTCATAGGATGTATGCAATAGTAGGTTCTAGATTTATTGTCTAGTTCTTTTTCTTTTTGCAACACACACACACACACACACACACATACTCAAACTAGTAACCCAAATATCTTTGTGTGACTACACTTAAACCACCTCAGAAAAGATTTCAAGAAAGGAAGAGTTTTACAGCTTGGAGTACATTTTTAAAATGTTCAAGTTTCTATCATTGAAAAGTTCATTTTAAAGTGTTATGATTATTGGCCTGTTTCCTCTGGCTCTCTGTGTCCAAAGAATAGCTGTTCACCTGTATTTTGGATAATTACTCTTTCACTTTAATGATAAAGACTCAAATTTTGAAAATTTTGTAAGGGCATATATATGCTGACTATGGAAAGAGAAAATACCTTTTAGAGCCCGAAATGGTACATTTGAGTCAAATAAAATGGCTATTCATCCAAATAGGTAGCAAATTCTTAAGGACTCTACCAACAAAAGTGGGTAGTGTCGGAAAACAGAATCTAAGAGGACTTAATTATGCAAATGGATAGTATCTGAAACAGTGAACAAGGATTGTTTCAGGGCTAAGTCTCTTTTTCATCTCATACAAATCTATTTCTCGCTCATTAGGAGAGAGATTTTTGAGAAAAGAACACTGACTTACAAGGACAATGAATCTGAATCAGCCTGCCAATTGCAAATAATGGCAGAAAATTATGAGTATTTTTTGGCCTAAAACCTTATGGATAATAATGAAAAACCTAGTGGCCTCTTCTTTCTCACAGTATGGAAAATCTTGCCCGACTTTACCTAGAGTCTAGGGTCTAGGTCATGGCCTGGATCCAGTGAGATTAGGATGGTTGGGCAGGGCACAGCGCCAGGGATTCAGGTTCAGGGATGTGGTCACATGACTGTAATTGAACTAGAAGCATGGCATCAGGACTGACCACTCTGGCTAAACCACAGACTTTGTCCAGACAGTCTGCCCACTTAGTTATACTCCAAAGGGATCATCAGACTGTTGGGAGTGGCTGGAACACCAAAATGATAACCTCCTTGTTGACTCCCCGAGGTCCAAACCATACACTTTTCCCATTTAGTTAAAGGCTACCGTTGCCCGCCACTAGCATGACTTACTTGGTAGGAGGGATGTCTGTAGAGAAAAGGTCTATTTCAGTATCAGCCAGCAAAACAGCCTTCATTCCCCTAGAGCTGAGCACTTGTTTACAGAATTTGCAACACAGGATGGACACGCACCGGTCCTTGAAACTACAAGTGCTGGTAGACATGGCGTCCCGGGAAGGATGCGGTGTGGGATTTTGAAAGAGCAGACAAGAGCAGCCCCTTTCCTCGTTTGAGTCCCCCGGGGTTAAAAATTAGATCGCGAGGTCTAGAGCTCTTCTAAGCCCTCGGTTGGCAAGGAAATGAGTTCTTTTCTGTTTCCCGTGGGAAGGTGAAAGCAGTATTTATTGAGGAGGCGCTCGGGGAAGGGAGTGGGGTTTGAAGCTGGGGAGGCGCGAGCTGCCAGGGGCCTCGGGAACTTCTCTACAGCAGGCTCCCAGCCCCGAGGCTAAAAGGCTCCTCTACGCTTCAGCCCCCGCCCCTTTGAGCAATTCCCTAAGCTTTCTCCAGCAGCGTCTTCCGGAGAAAGCTCCCCTCCTAAGCCCCCACCTCGGAGCTCTCCAATGCTTCCCGCTCGGACCGCCGGCCAAGCGTCCCTACCCACGCCTCGTCTTTGGAAATCCTTCTCCTCTTCCCAGGATCCAGAAATCCCCTCAGCTTTTCCCACGACCCCTGGTTGTCCTCAGTCCTCCCGGGACCCTCCCCCGCTCTGCTCGCTCGCGAGCTCCCGCTTCACTTCTCTCCAGGCAGCCCCCAGCCCTCAGCGTGCAGACTGGCTCTCGCGCCGTTTCTCTCGGTCCCTCGGACCTCCCTGAGGTCCCCAGTCCCTCAGCTCTGCCTCGTGCCCCCCGCGGTCCCCTTAGGTCTCCCTCCGAGCGGCCGCTCCGGAGCGCGCGGTGGGGTTGGCGGGACGGGGCAGAGATCGCTTTGGGGGCTCAGCCGGCGCTGGGGTCTCTGTCACCGAACGCGTCGTTTTTTGCTCCTTCTTCCGCTCTCTCTGCCTTTCCAACCGGCTGTCAGTTTGAATTGCCGGCGCCGGGCACCGATTGGGAGAACCAGAGTTCGCCCGCGTCCCGCATTGGAAGGCTCGGGAGCCTTCCCCTGCTGAGATCTTAGTGGCTTGGAGACCGTACGCCCCGCCTCAGTAACGGTGCCGGGATCTGTTCAGCTTTCTGGTTGGTGGAGGTTGGCTCCGCCTCCGCTCTCATTGGCTGGTCCCTGGAGGCTTGGGCAAATCCTACTCCTGCCCCAGTGAAAGCGTCAGGGCTCGCCCTTCGCGCTTCTTATTGGAACATTTTCTACAGTCCCCGCCGGACTCTACTCTCTATTGGCTAAAATTCTCCGCAACGCCCCTCCTTTCTACCCCGGTCCAATTGGTCGTGCTTTCTCTCAAGAGTTTGTGTTTGGCTGTTAGTTCCATTTTAACCCCGCCCATTAATTCTACTTTGGGGGCTAGGCAACCCTGGGAGGAGCTTACCTTGTGACCACGCCTCGGTGGCGCTAGTCACACCTCCGAGTTTCGCCAGCCCCTCCTCCTCATTCCTGTCCTTTCGGGATCAGCTATTCCTATTGGCTGTAGGCCCCATCGGTCGATAGACTACGGGCGGTGATTGGTAAGGGGGTGGGCTCTGCTTCCCGGCGGGGTCCTGCGGAGTTGGCGGAGGCTCCTCAGGGGACTAGGGGACCGATCTGCGTAGAAGCGGGTGGCGGGGAAGAGGGGAGGAGATCTCTGAGTAGGAAGCGGAGCCGGGGGCCCAGGACCCGTCGCGTCTGAGCCAGGTAAAGGCTCCTTCCCTCTCCCCTTTCCTCTTCCCGGCCGCCGGAGCCCTGTCTGAACAAACTCCGGCAGGGGCGGGAAGGAGAGGGCGCGGATGCTGCTTGCGGCATCGCCTAGCTGTGCAGCCCGGAATCCTTCAGACCCCCTCCCCCCGACCCTCTCCAAATCTTCCAGTACAGCCCATAATACTTCTCAAGACTGCATCTCTCTTTGCCGTTCACCGCACAGCCTGGGACTCTGCCCTGGGACTCTGCCGCCGCGAAGCCCTCACCCAGCCCCCTCCCCAAGTCCTCTTCACACGGGCACCCTTGGTCCACTTTTGGGTAACCGTCGCTGGCATCACCCGTAACCATCGGCTACCGTCTTCCCCTGTCTCCAAGCCCTGGCAGACAGCCGGGTTACAGCCCAGGACCCAGGATAGTTGTTCCGCCCTGCTTCCGGGGCTCTTGCCCTGTCCCAGTCCCCGGCCCGCCTGGAATGGCTCCTTTTATGCACCCCCGTTCCTAGACTCATAGCGGGTCCCCCAAGTTGCTAACATCCTTACGCACCATGTAACATCGTGGCCCGCGACAGTCTCCTCACCCCCACTCCCTCCCTAGGCAATCTTCCCTGTGCCCTCTCTCCACCTCCCGAGCCTGTGCGGAGGCTCCAGTTATCCCCGGCTCCCTTGCAGCCTCTGGACCCCACCTCACACCCCCCTCCCCGCTTCCTGCCCGCCTGAACCACCACGCCGCCTGGGCTCCCTCTTCTTCCCGGCGCGGGAAGTCGGAGACACCGGCGGGAGCCCGCCCCCCTCACCCCCCAGCGGCCTCCTGACCAGGAGAGGGTAAGGGGCGACCAGGGAGGGAGGGTAGTCGCGGCGGCATGGTGGGGGACTAGACGCCCGACTCGGCGCTCCGGCTGCTTCCCTCCCGCCTCCCGGGCCTGGGCCGGGGCGGGATTTCCTCCGGCACCTCCCGGTGCGAGGAGTCGGGACTGCGACCCTCCCGACCTCTCCTCCCCCAGCCTGGGTCTGGGTGCGGTATCTCGATCTGTGGGCTTGGGTGACAAAAAAATATCAGGGCTGGTATTTAAGAGTCACTCTGGTCCCCGGCTTGGGGGAGGCGGTGGCTGCCTTCCGTCCCCCGCCCCCGGGTTTTCCCGACTCCGACCCTAGCCTCTAACCCGTTTCCTGCTTCTGTCGACCACATTGTTTTCCTGGATGTGCCCCGTGCCGAGCAGGCTTTTTCCTGCAGGTCTCTCCCCCCACCCCGCGCAAACATTTTGCTGCCAAGAGAAGCTAGTAACCAAAAACAAAACAACTGGGAGGAGGGGCGGGAGGGGAAGAAAAGTTGTGCCCGGGTGGCTTGTCCCTCCCTGGCTTTGATCCCTTTTGAGGTCCAGGGAGTTGCCCCAGCCGGGGGTCAGGGGCCGCGTCGGAGCCACTGCCGAGAGTGCTGCCTTCGGCTGGCAGCTGCCCAGTGCTGGCGGGGCTCGGAGGCCGCCGAGGTGCCGCAGTCCCCGCCCGGAGCCCCGCGTTCCCGCCGCAGTCCCCACCCCAAGCCCGCGCAGGCGGCTGCTCCAAAGTGTTTTCTTCCAGCCTTAAAACAAAATCCGGAGGGAGCTTCCTTCCTCCGCACCTCGCCGCGCCGGGCTTTGTGGGCCGGGCGGTATTTGGCCGAGATGAATGGGCCCTGGCCGGGCTTGGAACGACGTCCCCTACCCCACCCCCGCCGCGATTAGGATCTACGCTGGGGCTGATCGCCCCCTCCCCTTTTCCTTGCATTTACAGGCAAGTGAACCGGAGCAAACGACTTCCGATCCAGTCTGCGCTGCTGCGGCTCCCGTTTGGGATTTGATTTGCAGCATCTTCGAGCCTGTGCAACAAAAAAACCGCGAAGCACGCCCAGCCCTCCCCGGCACCCTGTTACGCACCCACTCCCTCCCGGGGACACAGCTGGGCGCGTCCACACCCCCGCACCCCCCACACCATGTTGTGCGGAAGGACTTCCACTCCCTGCCTCTGTCGTTGATGTCAGACCCCAGGCCAGCCTCCGGGCGCTGCAGTTCTCCCGGCTAATGCTGAGGCTGCGGCTCCGGCTCTAGCACAGGAACCAGCCGCAGCCGCCGCGCCCGGCCCCAGCGTCCACCGTCTGCATGTGCCCGCCGTAGCCTTCTGTCCAGCCCGCAACCCGCGCTCCCCGGAGCGCTGGAGACCACCGCGGGGGGCCCCTTCTGCCCTTGGGAGAAGCGGTCTTGGAGGTATTGATCTCGGTGGTTGGATTTTTCCCGTGGATCTATCAGTTCACAATTTGAATTTGGAAGAAAGAAGGAAAACATGACGTCTCCGGCCAAATTCAAAAAGGATAAGGAGATCATAGCAGAGTACGATACTCAGGTCAAAGGTAAGGGCTTTGAAAAATAGCATAATGCATATGCTCTGTGGGCCATTGAGGCTTGCATTTCCATCCTGATTTGCAGGCTGTTCATTTCTTTGGGTGGAGCAGGTGGGGACAGGCTGAGCCCAGAGGTGGTTTCATAGGTGGGTTTGAGCCTCCGAGGGATGAACTGTGCCAGGGGCCACAGGCTCTGGAAAGGAATTTTTAGAGTGGGCTTTAGGTTTGCTCCTGGAGGGCTGGCCTTGATTTTGGCAGCCCTTTCCCCCCAGCCTAGATCGGGTGGGGGGAGGGGCGAGAGGTTCTTGGAGAGAGAAAGGCGGCAGTTTGCCTCTGGGTGTCTGGGTCAGGTTTCCTTGAAGGACAACTGAAATCTGACAGGTGTTTGGGAATTTATTTCTGAGGTTGAAGAGGAGTGCAGGTAGAGAAAGGCAACCTTGAGAAGGTATACCATTTGGGGAGACCCAGGAGAGGCAGGTTTTTTTTTTGTTTTTTTTTGTTTTTTTCCTGATGTACTATATCAAAAGGTGACATTTGCTGTGACATCAGTTGCAGAAAGTCTCCAGCCACCTTGGGTGCTCCTTGTACCTGCCAGGTCTCCGGTTGCCTTGCATTCTGTCCGAGATGAGAGAACAGAAAGAATAAGGTCATTTCACACCCTGTCTCCGCCCTCACCTAAACATGAATGGAGTTGGCATGTTAGGGTTGCTGGGTGGTGCTGATTCTGGAGAATGGGAAGACATAATTGTTTAACCCTTCTGGGTTGTCATCCTCTGCTCCAGAATGCGTGCTTTTAAAGGCCCACTTCCCTCTGCAAAAATGCGAAGGGTAAAGCAGAATGTGGACCCAGAGAAACCAGCTGAGCTGTCTGCAGGTTTAGTGGACTACCTGACTTGGTGCATGAATCAGAGCCCCTTCCCAGACAACCTTTTTTTAACCAGTCAATCCCACAGGAGGGGTTCCCGCCTGTTAAAGATCCCCAGGATGTGTTTGTGCAAGGCACTGTCCCTTCCTGGCAAGCCACTGGGAAGAGCCATGTGCTCCAGCCCATTGAGACTTCAGCTGGGGAGTGGGAGAGGTGGGTGGCCTTGAATGTTACACCACATGGTTGGAGCTCTGGGTTTTCCTTTGTTTCAGAGTACAGAGGGAGGGGCCCCTCCTTCTTTCCCTGCACCAATGCAAGGAGACCTTTTCCTATCATAGAGGACTTGGGAAGGGCCATGTCTCCCTTCTAATGATTGCCCGGGGTGGGGATAGTGTAGGGCTTGAAATGGGCAGCTGCCTTATCTCTTGGAAGGTTGGAATGTAGTTTGAAGTCCCCATTTTGCCTGTAGGGTCTTTTTAATGTCATCAGCTTGGTCATTGCTGGAGGTGCCCTGAGGGCCCTTCTATCCCCTTGGCTGCAAATATTGGTGGGTTTATTACAGAGATGGGGGAGTTGATTGATTGATGGCTTCGGTTGAACAGGGATTGGGAAAGGTGTGGTTGTGAGTTATAATTGAGGTCTTGGCCTCTTGTCACTGTTTATAATCTGGGCCTGTTTTTGTAAACAATAGGCCACTGGCCTCTGTGTCCTGTCCAGATGACTGTATTCTGCTCCTGGAGTCCCCCTTGCCATTTTAACCAGATATGTCACTCTATTTTTTTTACATATCCTATTCTTAACTGTTGCCATAGGGAGCGTTAATAACTTTGACTTTCCCAGATTTCTCTCGAGAAGCACGCTATTTGACTAAGGTGCAAAGTGATTTTACACGTTTATTTTTCGGAAGGTTCAGGGCTGATAGGTGTTAGTAGAACCTTGTCTGCTGATTCCTATTGGTGAAAGATTTCTCACGAGTGTCTCAAAATTGAACAGTTGTGTATTTACAAACATTGCTCATTGAGATGATGTAATGCATTTGGCTATTTGGGGTGTCTCTTCAACCTTGCCGCAAGCAGAAGGCTGTTTTGCTTTGCTCTGATATTTTCCATTGACATTCTTCAGGATCATAGAATTTTATAGGTGGCCGAGCATGATGTCTTACCCAGAGAAGGTGCCTGATAAAAAACTGATTTAAATGATTTAGTCCCTCATTTTATAGCGGAGGAGAGTACAGAGAAATTGAGAGGCTTGTCCAAGGTCACACAGCTAGGTGGTGGTAGTTGAAACGAGAAGGAGGTTACCGACTTCCTATTCTCTGCTTTATTCTATTCCTATGTACAATGAAACATCATCTGACCAGAACAGGAAACAAGAAATCCTTAAGAAGCCCAAATCTGTCAATGAATAATAGTAGTAGTGATAATAGTAATGGGTTACATTTTGGATGCTCATGATGTTCGAGCCTGTCCGAAGTGCTTTAATATATAAGTTGTCTTGTTTAATTCCCATATCAACTGGGAAGGTAGATACTATTTTACCCTCATTCACTGCATGAAGAAACAGGCTTAGAGAGGGTGAGAAGCCTTCCCAAGGTCACACAGCCAAACCCTGCCAGCTTGACTCCATTCCTTTATTCGTCAGCTCTTTATTTAGTGCCTTCTGTGTGTTCCAGGGACTGGCCGTAGAGCAGTGAACAAGACAAAGACCCCCTCCCTTACGGAGCTAACATTCTAGAACCCAAGTTCTTCGTGGAAGAGCATCGAGATTGGAGACAAAGGACCCGGGTTCTAGGTTGGCTCTGCTCCCCCACTAGGTAGAAGCCGTCAGTCAGAATTCTGACTTTCAGGTTTTTCTGTGTTACACGGGAGTGGTACTGCTGCTCGTCTTCTCTCCCAGATGCCAAGATAAAAAAGAAAATTGCTCTTTTGGTCTGGTGGCTGAGAGCACTGGGTTTTGAGTCGAAGGGACCCAGGTTTCAAATCTCGGTTCAGTTGCTCTTTGGGCAAGTTCCGTGACTTGTCTGAGCCTTAGTTTCCTCTCCGGAAAATAGGCAAAATCCCGTGCATTTCCTAGGGCAGGTGTTAGGAGTCAATGGGATGGTGTAAGAAAATCCTTGAGTGTGGTGTGTGCTCACTAGTAGCGTGGGCTACTCCCCTGTTAGTGGGCCTCGCTTCCTGCTGCACTGGGCTAACCAGAAGGCCACAGTGCCCGTTCACCCCCAAAGTGCCAGCGGTTCCATGAGGGGACACAAGTCTGGGAATGAAACTTGAGTTCTAGTTTAGGTTCCTCCTGTAGTGGTGAAAGGTATCTTAAGCCCTGTAGACCTCAGTTTCCCTTTGTGTAAATGAGCCGGTAGACTAATTGTTGGCCGCCGTTGCCTTGTATTCTCTGACCAGAGTCCTGGATTTTGCCTTTTTTGGTCAGAAACGGTTTGAAGCCAGTGAACTCGAAATGGACTCTTTGGGACCTCGTCTACCTGTGGCTTTTGCCTCCCTTTAAACCACCTGCTTGCATGTGCCCCGAAGGGCTTCTGAGGCTGCAGCCCCAACCCTCCCCCAGCCAGCGTTTATGAGGGGCGTGCCTCCTTAGTCAGCCTGCCCTGTAGCCGCCTTCTTCAAAACCATCATTGTTTCTGGTTTGTGGGTGTTCAGATTCCTTTGAAAGTTCATGCCTCTCCATGTCTGACTCGAAAGCAATAATATTCTTAATGCTTTTACATGGCGCTTTCCAATTAATGAAACGCTTTCATACATATGAATGTGTGGAAATTCTCAACAACCCTGGTCAGGTTCATGGTCATAACCTGAGGCCTTTTGGCCTATAGCCCGTTGGCTTCTTTCAAGACTGGAGCAGCACAAGGTGGTTGAGCGCAAGGCCTGGTTATTGGCGGTGGCTTCCCATCCCTGCGGGGTCTCCCGGCTCGCTGTTGTCCTCTCCTTATTCAGGACCCCTTTCCTTTACCCTCCCCATACCTTGAGTTTTTCTAGTGCCCCAGAAAGCTTGAGATTGACAGTTAGTGCAAATATTCCAGGAGGAATCCTCTGAAACAGAGTGACACTGTGTGCTGAGCAGTCAAATTTTCTTTCTTGAAAACATTGGGGGGCTTGTCCTTTTTTTTTTTTTTTTTTTAAATGTCTTAGAAGGGCAGTATGTGCGCAGCCCAGAGCTGAGAGCTGAGAAGTGAAATTCTGTAATTTCCATCTGGAGCATTTTGATAGAAAAGCCTCAGGCCTCCGCCTGGAACAATTTAACCCTTTTAGGACCCTTTCCGAGGAGGAGATGAAATTTCAAACTCCACACACATTGTGTGTGCGCACGCACACTTGGGAATGTGGATTGCTGGTATTTAAACAAGCTCCTTCCCCTGGGAGGTCGGAGCGCTTCTTCACTTGTGCCAACAAAGGTCTTCTCCGAAGCCTCTTTCCTCCCAGCCCCCACTCCCCAAGGGAGCTTTAAATATAATCAGTTTGTGAAAAGCTGCAGTAAAACATCTCCTTGGAATCCCCAAGCAGATGCTATCATCTTCCTGCGAGATGATGGAAGGCTTCTCCTCCCTTGCTCAGGGAAAATAGGACTCTGCTGTCAGCCGAACTCCTGGAAGGAAAGGAAGCTCTGGGAAGACCTGGAGGAAGGTGGTGGGCGAGGAGCTGGGGATGCCGTGTGCTGTGCAAAGCAACAGCGTGAGGAGAGTGTCTGCGAGGAGCTTTTTTGCAATTTCTGGCATCCTCTTAGGGCACAGGAACAGAAATGCCTTTGGAGAAGCCTACCTGGTGGTTATGACCACAGGGTCATGAACCGCCCAGGTTGAAAGCCAGGACGAGGCCCAATCATTTCTCTGCTATGAGGTTTACACAGTGGGACCCGGCCCTGATCCCTAGGGTCCACACCCTCTTAAATCAGCAGGTGCCCCGCTCCTGACTCACATGCTCCCCATTGTTCCACGGGCCCGGGGTACCTGTAGAGCCCTTCTTTCAGAAGAGACATTTTCTGCACGGGAATTGTGCCTACCTGCCACCCTAGGCCTCTGAGGGCTTTGTTAGGAAAGTATTAGGTCATGTGGCAGGAATAAAGAAGTCAACGTGTAGATCTCTACTGGTAATAAAATGCAAGTAAACAGTTTTAATTTGGTGTCAGCTTTCGGACC